ATACACCAACAGATCGTAATAACCATGATGAAACGGAATAACTGAAAAATTCATAAAATACACGAAGATTTGATTACGAGGCTTAAGCAGTATGCATCCTGTACAGCTACTTATCGAACCAACTATTACACAGCCAAAACTTAGGACAAAACGACAAAGCAATCATTTCTTCAGCTCTATTCAAACACGTATATTTTTGGCGATATACACATTTCCAGATATTGTAATAATATTCTGTGAAAAATGATTATGGCGTAAAATGTTAACATGCTGGCATAAAATGTCAACAAATCATATTTATGTCCAAGAAATTTTATGATATCCATCAGCTTGCACTAGCAAGCAAACTCTTGTTCAAATTTAAATATATCCACTAAAAATGTACGATATTTAAAGATTTTAGGAAACTATACTAAGTGCTAACTAAATGGTGAATGTTTTGCATATGAAAGCAATTTGTTGGTATAAAAGCATTTTAAATAGTTTTCTTGCTCTCGTTCTAACTTATTATATATATATATATATATATATATAACCACTTCAAAGTGAATCCATGATGAAGTTAGAAAATGGAAAACCTTATATATAACGTACAACAACAGGAGGATACTGCACAACAACAAAACGTTTGATGATTTCACACCTTCAATAACACAATACCACAGTCGCGCTCCCAGATGAATTTATGCAATGTCATCGAGTAGACTGTTTCCACCGTTAGTTGGAATAAAATGTAACCGAAATTGAAAACACCATTTGCTCTGAAAAACAAATTTAGTCATCTTAATATGTAGCCATGCATCAGGCTCTACAGATGGAAAAGCAATCATTAAAAACAACGTCTTCTATTTGTCTACTGTTATCTTGCTCATTTTTTCAAAGAATATTGAAAATGTGAAGCTTCACTGCTGCTACAAAAATTTTTGATATAAACGGTAACAAATACTGCATGATTTATGAGAGTCAAATTACAAAATATTTTATAATAGTTATTTTTCAACATAATAGGTTAACGGGGATAGCGACTGCGAATTGGTCATATCGCGCGATAAGGGAAATGATTGCCACATTAGTGCGGGCATGTCCATATTAAATTACCTGATGAGACAAGTCAAGAAGGAAAAGAAAATTCCTAAACTTCACTCTAAAGCTGACCAATCCATTTTCGTTTATCTGCCAAAATGTATAAAAAGAAAAAAAAGGAATATGAAAACTAACCTCGTTGCAAATGCGAAGGAGAAAAATAGAGCAGCAATAATATAACGTACAAATGATAGAGATGAATCGGCATAAAGTGTGAACATACCACAAAAAGTTAAAAGCATATACACACTTTCGGAGTAAACGGCAGAGAAGAAGACGCTAGCCGGATTAAAAGTAAACACAAGGCAAGCGAGCAGAGCAAGCTTCTTCGACTTAGTGAGCATAAGCAGCAACGCATACAATAGTTGGCCGCATAAAGTAAAAGCTATCTATAAAATTCCACGAACAACACCTATTTCAAATAAGGTAGTAATTGTAGTCGAACGTTTGCAATAAATTATGATATAATTTGTCTGACTCTTTGTTTTATGTTGTATATCTGATCATTCTACATCAAAATTTTTCATTGCTTTTGCATCTAAAAATCTCACAAAGTTGTAAAGAAAATCTTACAAAGTTTGCATCTTTTGCATCGCATTTACAAAAATCTTACAAAGTTCACAGTGACGGCGGTGAGTATAATAGCTGTTGAAAAATGAACGAAAGGTAGTGCCCAGCTCCAAATCAATGTGAAAGAATAAATTAACGTTGGAAATAAAGGAAAGAAGGCAAGATTGTTCTCATAAGTGTAGCCGTACTGCGCAATATGCAGGAAATGTACTGCATCCCACTTCGTTAGACCACCAAAAGCAATGCGGATCCAACGATCAGCGTGAGATAACTCCTCTGTAACGTTTGAAAAATTAAACTGATGAAATACAGCAAACAAATAAGCACTAGTCCACCCATGATCCAATCTGCCAGCTGGCCAAATATTAGACATTTGCCCAGTTGTAAAACTTTTAAGGAAAGTATTTCGACGGCTAAAATCCTTTCACAAGAATGCATTTGTCAATTTAAAACCGAAGAGTAATTTAATATTGCCAATTTAATACAATCAAAACAGCAAGCACAGTGAAGTCTTCTTGATTCAGGTTTTTAGTAAATCAAAAAGACACTATTTTGAATTAGCACAAAAGATGACTTCTTTTCACATCAAAACACATCACTGGCCGATTATATCCAAAATATTTTGGCATCAACAATAATTCGCTGTGTGATTTTCAGATGAAATGACATCTGAAGACAAAATACTGTGGACATGATTCGCCAATGATTCTTAAAAGGATGAATATGAAACGCTAATACTATATAAGGAACCGTAATAAATAAATACAGTCAACAATTCAAAATTCTGTAGTATTAACCTTGTGGGACTGGAACTCCTTGAAAGGCATCTGTAGGATAATCAGTTATGGCGACATTCATAACAAACTGTATGATGATGATCAGTATACGACTTATTATACACTGTTTCAGAACAAAAAATGCAAATTCCGCATCCCATCGCCATTCTTTCTGTAAAAAACAAAACTCTTCGCCCAAACGTCCACGGCGTCTTCATTTGTCTTTTTTTGATAGATAAAATATTCTCACATTCACACTCAGCATATACTTTTGCGATAGAAACGAAGCTTGCATTTCTTGAAGGTGAAGCATGCTGCAGATTCTTTAACAATGATAACAACTGTGTGAGGAAGAGCCATCCATTCAGATTGTTTGTCCCATTAATTACAAGGTACCGTCATTCAAGAATGGCGTTCCAAACACAGTCAATAATCAAACTGTCCGAAAAAAATATATATATATATATAACTTTTTTTGAAATTCAACAAACCGACGAGTCACTATAAGTAAGGTGGTCCTTGAAATTTGTTACAAAACTGCTGGCATCCCTTCTTTTTTCTTCCTCTGTTCGAGTAGCCATTTTCTGTGAACCGATAATTTATAGCGGTAAGCTGAAATCACATAATATCAATCATTTAAAACAAACCATCACTATTTAAAACCTCTCCTTTCTTCCTCTCTCTCTCTATATATATATATGTATATACATATATGTATATATATATATATGTATATATAGAAAGAGAGAGATGTTGAAAAGGTGAGTACTTTTGGTAAGTTGCAAAAAGTAAACAGCACCGACAAGGACTAAACTAGTTACATGATCAAGTCATGGAAATGTGATTAGAGAGAAAGGGGTAGTGGATTCTGTGAAAAGAGAGTGTGAAAAAAATAAGAAAAGCACTTAAATAAAAAGTAACTCCACAATACTATGAAATAATAAAGATGGAAAAAAAATTAAGGTTGAACAGCACCATCCCTACCGCCACACCTGGTCGTTATCCTCGATGCACAAATCTAACGGACTACCTGTTGACAAGCGATGAAATCGTTACATTTTGTCGACTCAGAACATAACTGATGCAACAAGAGAGGATGTCTGCATCGAAGTATTCGAAGGACCTGCAATGCCGATCGCTACATCGGCTAAAGCGTGAGAGACCTGGTGATACATCACAGATCTCGAAGGTCATGTTCCCACATGAAGTCACCAAAGTGCTGGTAAGTTTTGTCTGTACTGATATTGATGATGATGTACAGTGGCTGTGAAACATATTTCCATCCGAATACTCCGAATACTTCACATGTTTTTTGATATCACAAGTTTACCGAGTTACAGGAAGCTTTCAAGTCATAAGAAAGTCTTTGTCTTTTATAGATGAGTTGATTTCCATAAGCTTGAATCTCATGATCTGTATAGTGGGGAAACTGCTTAATCTTTTCATTTATTTTCTATTTTTGAAAGCGTTAGAAAATTCAATAACGTGATATCTTCTACGCCGATTAACTTTTTTTGATGATATCCCATTCACTGTTGATTTGATGAATGCTGGAAGATTCCAAAAATTACCAACTTTGAATCGAGTCGTGTTGCAGGCTGCTATATCATCATCAACGGTACCACCGGATTCGAAGAGACCACGCTTACACTCTGTTCCGAGTACTCAATCTGAGAAAATGGGATTAAAGCTGTCTGGTCGAATCCCCCATATGGTACTGGAAGAGTGCCTGAAATGCACAGAAAATGGCGATAAGTTGGGGTAGATTCTCAATTCTCGTTTGAATTTTAGTTTTTATTAGTGTCATTGTTTCTCTTGGAGGATTCATTTGTTATTCGATCCACATTCAGGGTATTGTCACGCTTGCGAGAATTCTTCGGAGAACATTTGTCTGTTCTCAGTGCTGATTCACAGTTTTATTGCGCAAAGCTTTTGATTCAAATAGCATCATCTTCAAGAATTGTGACTATAACTAATACTTGCTTACTCTACGCACTTCATATCTGCAAATCAGCCGATATGAAGCAAAATATATGGGACGAAATCGTGACATTGATGGCCGATGATAAGGATAAAAAGGAAACAGGGTACGTACCAATTAAAGTTTCCTATTAATTATTAATTCTGGTTTTTAAACTTTCTCTCTGTTAGGCAGAAAAGTTGGAGAACTTTGTCCAGAGTGTTAGAAATAGATAAAACGTAGATCACATAATAATTATTAGGAGGAAGTCATAAAATATCTGTTCCTTCAACATCATGCAAAGTCTCGTACGTGATAAAATTTTCTTACTCGGAAATCTTTAGAATATTTCATTTTTTTGAGCATTAAGTAATATTTTGCAGAATTAACATTGGAATTGTAAATGTAGTTTGTTTGTAAAATAAGTATTTCTTAATCGGTCAGATATTAGACGTTCTTGTTATCGAAGTTGTTTTTGAATTATCATTTTATTTTACCCATTAGTTTTGATTGTGGAGATCAAGTTCCTTTGCTTATTTCACTTCCTATTATTACTTTTATTGAATAAAATAACGTTGCAGTGTATTTCATCGACCTGCTGTATATGCTTCATTGCTAGCTCTTTTTGAGTGGGCACTATCTGAAGGCTTGAAAATAGGTCAATACATACAGGAAATGAATTGTATGGCTGAGGAAAGCGTGCGTTCAACCGACCAAAACAATCGCATTGCTGCTATTAATCTTTTTGTGACGTGTCTGTTAAAAAGTACGATTTATTATGCATTTTTACCTAGTCATATCAGCGAATCTTCAGCTGTCTAAAGCAGGCTGAGAAGCGGACAGTGAAAAGAGAAGAGAAGAGTAATGATAAGTTAGCTAGAAGGCTGTTACTGCTAGCAGAATCTGTAATTCTGGTATATTTTTTTAGGCAAGGAGCAATGTTCGATACAAGAGTTCCTGTGGCTCGAAAAACTTTTGTCGACAATGGCGGAAGATCGCGATTCACGGGTGCGAATAGCCGCAGTAAAGGGTCTTTCAGCGATGGCTACGAGTGGGCGTTTACTCAGTTTTTCTCTTTATCAGCAAGTGAAAAATGTATCTTCTTATAACTTTAATATGAATAGAGTTCCATATTGCTAAAACTTACCTGTAGTACGTTGTCTAAAAGTTTAAAAATGAATGTCGAGTTTTTAGGCTTTCAAAAGTTGGAGTTAAAAACATCCGTCCCATTTTCCTGCATTTCGAGAGTGTCAGGAACGTGAATAATTTCAATATGAATATTGAATAAGAATGAAAAAAAAATCATTGTTCTTGGCTATAATATTTAGAACTTTACTACAAAAACTTACTTTTCTGCTGCGTTATTAGTGATGTTCAGTGAGGCATGTTCTTTCCAATAAATTTGCTGAAGTTAAACATCGTTTTATAGATGTTTTAAACATATGTTCATTAAGAAATTATTTCCAGTTGTGTGAAAACTCGTCAAAAATAGTTCGAAAAGAAGCGCTGTATATATTGAAAGCATTTGCAGACTATCGCCCCGAAATGTAATTCCACTAACCAGTCATTTCTTTCTTTTTCTTGTATTTATATAAGCTAAATCGACTAGCAGACTAAATACTCCGTCAGTTTTTCATGAAAATTTCGCATTTTTCCATAACATTATTTCACGCTGTATGGAAAAATAAAATATTAAGGGAAGTCATTGGTCGAAACGGTGCAAAACTGCGGTTAGTGGATGATGCATTTGCTGCTGTATGCCATGCAATCAATGATGTGGAGGTGAGGATTAACATGTTAGACTGTAATCTTTAATTTTTATCAAAAATTTTGAGGACTTATTTTTACTAATGCTCTTGTGTTTATATGAGTTATTTTTTTCGATAAAGGGGTTTTGCAACAATTCAGCTCTTATGGATCAGTACCTAAATGGACCATGTGCAGAAATCCTTCAATTTATTTTAGGTCACTGTTCGTGCTATTGCTGCCCGACTTCTGGGTGACTTCAAACAGGTTTCCGATTCTTTTTTGGATCAAACGCTTGACAAGAAACTATTGAATGCTATGAGGGTAAATTTTTTTATCAGACCCGACAAGAGCTTTGGCAAAGAACTTATTGAGTTACTACTTGTGTACTATAGATGTCAAAAACACGGGATGGTGCTTCAAAAAAACCTCAAGCATATGGATCACGACGTCGGCGCTCACAAGCAACAAGCGAATGGTCAACAGGGAAAAAATTGGGAGAAGATGCTCCAGTGGAAAGGTTCGATGAAGAACAAGCTAGCATCATTTCTTCAGGAGCTTGTGGTGCTTTTGTTACAGCGTTGGAAGATGAATTTATGAGTATGTTGGTAATACCAATATTATATATGACGTTTTAAATTTTTGAGAAGACTGCTTTATAAAAGGACTGCAAAAATAAATTTTTACCGCATCGCTGTCATGGGGATTGTAGCTTTCTTCATTTTGTTGATTTTCTTTTCATTTTTTGCTGAATTCTTTGGGCAAGTTATTCCACCAACTATATCAGCTGTAAAACTTTTAGTTGTTCGACAGGCTGGTGTTTATTCTCTGGGCCAGTTAGCCGCTGACCGTCCATTCTTAGCAGCTGCTGCTTTAGATCATTTAGCCGATATGTTCAACGACGAAATTGAGCAGGTTCTGTGGTTTCATTAGGAAAGCACTATTTAACGTTATCACATAACATTTTTTCAAGTTTTTCTCAATTTTTGCGTTCCATCTTTATCCTTTTGTATCATTTTCCGCCAAAGTTGCACTTGGAATAATAAATTTGTGTTATGTAGCACTATAGGATTACTTACGCAACTTTTGTAATTTATAATAAACAGGTAAGAGTTAAACTTAAAATCTGAACAAGTTTTAGGTGCGCCTAGATGCTGTACGCGCCCTGACACCGCTGGTTGTCCATGGCATATTGCAGAAAGAGCAGCTTGACACCATACTGACCGTTCTTGATGTCAGTATTATATTATTTCTATGAATTTCTTATTACCTCGCAGTGCAGGTGGTTTTATGGAACTTCGCTTTGTGTTTTTTTCTTTTTTGCGTTTCACTCTTGCTTTATTTTAAGGATGCTTTGCCAGACAGTAGAGAAGCTTTGTGTGTATTACTGTCAAGATCAACATTAGGTACTCCTGATTGCCTTCGGTATGTTGTCAAAGCACTACTCAATTGTATGAGAAGGTTCCCTATTGATCGTCAGTCAATTTTCAAGTAGGTCTGATCTTTTTTTCCGTAATTTGCTATTTTTTAAAGCGATTTCCTTAATATTTTTCCAAATTTACTATATTTTTCAATCAAGCTACTGACATTTTCAAAGTTGTTTAGATGTATGAGTGATCTTGGCCGTCGTCATGCGACATTCGTGCAACTCTTATCCGATGAACTGCTGGAATTGCATCCTGTTTTCGATATCACAGAGCCAGCAGTTGATGACCAGTTTTGTAAGCATTTTATTTGAGCATTTGGTCAATATTTCTAGGATTTAGAAATATGTAGATCATTGATCTAATGGCATACGGAATGCACAACTACCAGATTTTTTTAAAGACTATCAGTTTTTTTTTTTTTTGTT